CACCACTGCCATCCACATCCGAACAGGCTGAAGGTATTGACGCTTTCTTAGACCGCTTGCAGAAGGAATCTACCAAGCCTTCCAGGGCTTCTCAAGAAAACCTTGCAAGGTCAATTTCGTCACGACCGAACAGTAGAGAGCGGAAAGAACCCCCACCAAGACCTAGGAGGCCATCAGAGAAAGACCTACCGCCAGCAGACATGACCGATCTCGACCCCCCGGAGTTCATGTCCCTCTCAAACAACATGTTCCCTTCTCGCGGCTCAAGCCGAAGTGGCTCGGAAAGCGACATGCCACGAGGCCTTGCGCCAACGCATTCCTTACGTCCACCGCCACTAGCAGCTTCTGGGCTGGGTGATGCGCCCATGAACGCACTCCACACCCCTTCGGACTCTGGCTTCTCAGACGATTCATACGGCAGCTCGGGCTACCGCAGCATGGCAAGCTCCAGATCAAGCCCCCCAGAGTCCGAGGCTGCGCACTCACGCCAGACTTCCAAGATCAGTCGTCCTGACAACATTGTCGAGGAGAATGTTGAGAGAAGCGCAAGCCCGGAGTCCTACGCCGAAGCACGGCCTGTTCGAGCACCGAAGAGTTATATGCGGCCCGATGGTGCGGAGCCGTACCCAAGGTCGCTTTCACCGGGATATCGCCAGGACACGTTTCCGCCTGGTGGATATGCAAAATACCCTGAGTCGCCAATGGACCCCGCCATACAGATGGGCGCGTCAACACCGCGTGACACGTTCGAAAGAGAGCCGGCAACACCCCAGGACCCGGCGCAAGTCAATGTAAGCCCGCCAAGACGCATGGCCGAGCCTGAACCCCAGCAACAAGACGTGCGCCGGCCTAAGGCTGCTAGCAAAGGCAACTGTCGTGGGTGCTCGGAGCCAATTGTTGGAAAGTCCGTGAAGGACTCTTCTGGCCGCCTCACGGGACGCTACCACAAGCATTGCTTCACGTGCAGAACGTGCGCCGATCCCTTCCCGACAGCGGAGTTCTATGTTTTCGAGAACTCGCCATACTGCGAACAGCACTACCACAAGCTCAACGGATCTTTGTGCAATGCCTGCAACCGGGGTATCGAAGGCCAATATCTCGAAACCGATTTGCGCCAGAAGTTTCACCCAAGATGTTTCACGTGCACGACCTGCCGCATCGTCCTCCGCGACGGCTACTTTGAAGTCGCTGGCCGGCGATACTGTGATCGGCATGCGCAAAGCGCCGCAGCACCTCCGAGAAGTAACCTAGGCCCGGGCAATTACAGACCGCGAAACCTCCAGAAGCGCGGTACAAGGCTCATGATGATGGCGTGAACCATGCACCTCTCGCATAACCGTTGTCGTTGCTTCTTCTTGCTCATATTTTGCTTTTCATTTGTCACGTCCTTTAGCGATCTGGTTTTTGTTTGGGCCTTTTGCATGAATATTCACCCTCTTCATTCTTTCTGATACCCGGCCAGTCCGCTGTTACTTTACCATATGTTCTGCGTTATACCCCTTACTCTATACATTCGCTACACCTTATAATTGTCTTTTGTATCGATGTTAGATGGTGGTCAAGCACCGATTCTCGGGGTTGCTTCAGGTGGTGCTCGATATACCACCTTTTGTTGGAAGGTTTCAGTCGCTGGAAGACTGTTCTTACTTTGTTAATAACGAGGTCCGACTGCACGTGTACATATATGTAACATACCTAATGTTTACTGCTCAGCATGGTGGGCTTATCAATATCGATTCAAGAATCATTTTGCGTTGCCTTGTTGGGTGATTCCTTGTCATTCCCGCGATGCACACAGCTAAACACTCAAGGTGTCCACATTGAGTGATTGGGCGTTCCCGCAAACGTGGTCAGGCTTGGAAGAAGCGGCGAACCATCAGTCAGCATCAATCAAGGCTACTCCAATATCTGGATATCGAATACTAGAACTGGAGTCGGGTGTTTGGTCCATCGATCGCAAGTGCTATTACGGTATCACCTTCAAGAATCGCCCGCTATCGCAATCTCGCCATTCTCTATCCATTTCACGGCATCATCAATACCCTAAACGCTTTTCCCCTTGAAGAGCACAAAATCATGAAGATTGAATTCGTTAGAGAGGTATATAAACCATGTCCGCTATGCGCTCCGTTGATTCATACATAACTACCACTGCAACTTCTACCACCACCCAGCATCCACTACAATACTGGCAACAGCACCCTAAGTTTATTCAAGCAATAACCATCAGTTACACATATACCATGTGCGACATCAACCAACCTCTGTTCGGTGAACAGATTCCTCGTCTTCCGAACTCAAGCAAGGGTCCCGAGCCCAACCCTCCTGACACCCCACCTCCAACACCCCCGGGCGGATATAAGTGTGTAAGTACTCAAGATGTAAAAAAGACATACATCGTACAGAAGCTAACATTCGTACAAGAACCTTGGTCCGGAGCCTCCAAGGCCTCTGGAACCACGTTCCGGTCTTCCCACATCACCCTACAGGCAACGAGAAGACTTTGTGCTTCCAGAGCCGTCTGTAATGACCACTTTCCAGGAAATTGATCAGCAAGTGAACTGACTGTTGTCTCAAGGACGCTAAGACTGGCTACACACCTCCTTCTTCGCCAGCACCGCCGCCTAATACGCCCGAAAAGAGACGAGGAGACCTTCCTCTACCAGAGCCCTCTGTAAGTACCATCTTCCGAGAACCTAATCTTGTAGTCGAGCTGACCGTTTTGTCAAGGACGCTAAGACTGGCACCACACCACCACCGAGGCCCAAGACTCCACCAAACACACCCAAGAAGTGTTCCGCGGATTATGGTTCAAACACTCCCAGTCCATCTTCAGGCATGATCTATGTCATGGCTTGCGCTTAAATGCCGAAGACCAGTGTTCGACTGAGAGTCATGAGTGAACGGAAGGAGGGAGAGGCCTAGCTATGGCTATGGACAGTGATTGCGCATGATGATCATTGGCAGCTCTGCAGTACATGTTTGGACTCTATAGCTCCCAATGATAAATTTGATCCTTTGAATATCGATGATTGCCTTACAACAATACCAGCAGCTGATATCACCTAGCCTCACTTCGTAGCAATAACCACCCACTGACTAGCCCTCATCCAAACTTCCCCATCAACCCTCTTCGTACCCTCTTGCTCCAAAAGATGCTTCACCAGCAGATCAACCGCCCCCCCCCACCTCTCACCATCCGTCTCTGTCCACCCACCTATGCCACCCAAATACGCCCAAGATTTCTCTGCCCAGTCTCTCAAATCGCTAGTCTTCACCCAGGCCTCACTCTTCTCTACCCTCATGTTTGCTCGCGAGAAACCCGCCTCCAACATCACTTTCTGGATCTGCTGACCGTCCTTCCAAAGTATAGGCGGTGCTGGGTACGGTTTCCCTGGACGGAGTGCTTGATGCACGAGTGCGAAGGGTGGGAGCCAGGTGACGTCTTCCCAGCAGTTTACCACTGCGGTGCCGCCGGGTTGGAGTGTGCGATAAATTTCTTTGGCGCCGTCGAGACCGGCGGAGCTGGTGAAGAAGATACCGATATTGTTGATAGAGTGGGTGAAGTGGTCGTCTGGAAACGACAGGCTCTCAGACTTCTGGTTCGATACGTCGATGGGCCAGTAGTTCTTCTGCACGTCTGATTGGAGTGCGTCGAGGAAGACTTGGTCGATGTCTGTGGCGTGGATCTCGAGACCTGATGGCGTCTTTGAGGAGAGAATCTTCCGAGAGACTGTACCAGCTCCACAAGCGTTGTCGTGGATGATGGCATTCGGAGGCATGGGTGGAAGGAGCGAGAGGTTGTGTGCTGCGAACTGGGAAGTCACGGCACCACCTGTAGCCTCGTACACATCGACCTTGCGTTGGCCTTCAAGCAGGGCAGCGACTTGCCTTGGTTGATGTGGGGAACTGGAAGTCATAATGATAGCTTTTGAGGTTTTTGTCAATGTATCTTTGGGTGGGGTTTGATGTGCTGAGCATACAGCAAGACGGCTGCCTCTACGTCTTATGTAGTCATCTCTATAGCGCGCCAAAACGCCATGAAGCCACGAAGATTACGGCATGCATACCGCGTCGGACGTCTATGAGACCGAGGAGTCGAACTTAGTCATACTGTTCTGTTTTTACACGTTTATAGGATAGACTAGATTGGCTTGTGGCGTTCAAGGCTGACATGCGTTGTGCTTACGCCCAACTACACCATACTAACGGAAACGACTTTTCGGGAGACCTCGCCAGTGATCCAGGCGTTTCAAGAGCTGCAATCGATGTGGTAGTGTTGTGGTTCAGAGGTGATGTACGAGCGGACATCTGGAAGTAGCGCCTGGAGGAGGCTCGCCCGGACATGTCGGATCCGAATCGGTTTAGGCGCAAGTCCGGTGCCGTCCTCCTCTGCTTGTTGCGGACAACGCGACTTTTGAGCACATGTCTCCCATCCTTCCCCCAGCGCACGAATGCAACGTTTGATGCGTCATATCAACACTTGCGTATCCCATCTCGCCTTCGTGGGTCGTTACCAATCGATACTGAGCTTGCGCGGTGTCGACTCACACGAGCGCGAACCTCCGTCTGCCCAACGCCCGGAGGCTCTGCCAGCAATGTCGGAAATCCATACTCGCGCGCTGAGACCTACAAATATGGAGAGACTGAACAACATCGCCTGTATGAGGGGGAGATTGTAGGCTGTAGATGACGCTACCGATCTGATCAGATGAACTGTCATCTATATCGTACGCAGTGTGGTGTGGGGAAAGAGACCCATGGCATGCTCATCGTGAGCGCAAGCACGCGGGGATAACTTGATTCATCTATGGTCCTGCCTAGATAGGCATCTACGTTGACACAAACCCCAACAATCATGTTCTGTATAACACGATGCTGCGAGGAGCCTTATCGAGGTAACGTTCCGGTTGTTGGACACCATGCCTTCTGACAGGCGCTGTGCGCCGTTGAGCACGAGTACAGACCTCTGTCTCTGGATGGCTTCTATATATCACATCATGGAAGACGTTTTTGTGCCGTATGCTCAAGCAATACCAGAAAACATGTTTTCATATCTTCTGGTTATCCTCTCTTGTGTAGGCAACGCAATTGCTCAACAAGCAGGGTAAGACAGTGAATTTGTCTTTTTATAACCCGTGTTGTACATTGCTCACTCTCTCTAGACCGGTCTACTCACCTTTGCGACCACCTTCCATCCCTCTCGCAGTCCGCTCCCCATACACTAGCGCTTGGAGCACAACCTCCGGCGGAAGTACGCTTAATAGTCGGAATGTCACCTTCTGGACTGGCGATCCCATAGGATGGAGTGGCATCATACGCGTAGACGGAACGGCTTATGAGTACATGGGAGACTCACCCTCCGTACAAGGTCTCCAGAAAGCAACTCCACTTACCGTATCTTACGACTCCCACTACAGTAACTTTACATTCGACGCTGGACCTGTGCGAGTAAAGGCGCGATTCTTCTCTCCTGTTCTACCAAAAGATCTTTGCAAGAGCAGTATTCCGCTCAGCTATCTGGAAGTCGAGTGGGTCGCCACCGACGAGCTCTCGCATGATGTACAGCTCTACTCAGACATCGATTCTATTTGGCTTGGGGGCGGTAATGTATCATTTGACTGGACTGTTGACTGCCCTGGTGAGTCTTTCGGCGCAACCCAATGCCCGCCCAAGGGAACGGAGACCCCCGACACATTGTTTCATTGGTAAGTTGTTGCATCTAAATATGTTCAGTATAACTCTGACCAGCTCCAAGGGAAGCAATGATTATAGATGAGCTTTCATGGTCCGATCGTGGCCATAGGCAGGAACCGTACTGGGGCAGTCTGCACTACGTCTCTTCTCCCGGCATGAGCACTGAGTTCGATACTGCGAATGGTCTAGCGACTACTGTACGGCAGCAGTTTGTCAATGACGGCAAATTGGATCAATCTTCCGACCGGGATCAGTCTCAAGGACCTCCAGTTGACCGAGTGCCGGTGTTCGGTTTCTTGCATGGTTTCGCGTCCAGCCAATCCGGGTCGGTGCTATACACTGTCGGGACAACTCAAGAGCCTGCTGTGAACTACCGCACTGCTAGTGGGGACATCGAGCTCCAACCATGGTGGCTTACGAGCAACTGCTATTATAGTACCAACTACATGATCCGCAGGCATTACAAAGACTACGCAGCTACCGCAAAAGAGGCCAAATTTTGGACCATGAAGCTACGATATGACGTAGCTTACTACTATGCCCAGGAAAAAGTGACCGATAGGCATACAGAAGTATCTTCGTTATCAGAAGAGGAGTCGTACTACGCCATTGTCGCGCTTTCCGCCCGCCAGATCCTGGCCGCAAACGTCCTCACGGAATCTGCAGATAACACTACGGGTCCAACCATCTTTCAGAAAGAAATCTCATCAGACGGCAAAGTGAACACGGCCGATGTCATCTACCCTGCGTTACCCTTCTGGCTCTATGCAAACCCGGACCTTCTTCGCTTACTGCTCAAGCCCGTCTTCGAGTTCCAGGAGTCTGGGCTCTATCATGAGCGATACGCCATGCACGATATCGGGCGATTCTATCCAAACGCTATAGGCTACTACAGCTCCACCGTTCCCGATGAGGAAGGGGAAGAAGCGATGCCCGTTGAAGAGAGCGCGAACATGGTTATTCTGGCAGCTTCGTACTACTTGGCTACCAACGACACCGCATTCCTTATTAGCCACTACGATATCCTCAAGCGGTGGTCGGAATACCTCGTAGAAAATTGCCCATACCCTGAGCATCAGACCACGACAGGCAAGTACAAAGCAGCACGTCAACACCAAGAACGTTTGTACTAACAAACCTGAAGATGACTTCAACGAACCCATCGCCAACAACACCAACCTCGCAATTAAAGGCATCGTAGCCTTAAATTGCATGAGTTTCATTGCCCAAGCCAATGGCGACAGAGGCTATGGAGCAGGCAGATGGCTGCGCAACGCATATTTCTACTATACCCTCTGGTCCGAATCAGCCATAGACCCCTCAGCCAATCACACTCTTCTCGCTTACAACCTCCCCGACTCCTACAGCATCCTGTACAACATCTTCCCAGCCCTCCTCTTCAACCTGCGCGCAATCCCCAAATCTCTCTTCACCATGCAATCGGACTTTTACCCGACTGTCGCCGAAAAGTACGGCGTTCCTCTTGATAACAGACGCCTGTGGACGAAGAGCGATTGGGAGATGTGGGCTGCGGCTACGAGTCGACCTGAAACAAGAGCGTTGTTTGTGAACTCGTTGGCGAAGTGGATCAATGAGACGAGTACAGACAAGGCGCTTTCGGATCACTTTATGACGACGGGTGATGGGGGCTATACGGATTACCCGTTTGTGGCAAGGCCAGTCGTTGGGGGGCATTTTGCGCTGCTGGCGATGGGTCTTTTTGGGAGACATGGGGTTGTAAACGGAGAGGATGAGTAAGACAGCCAGGTGGGATGATCAATAAGGTGGTGGTATAGGTCCTGCCACAACATCACTGCGCATGCTAGAGCTCACCCGGGATGATTTGGATGGTATTATGTTTCGTATTCATATCGCGTCGATGCGATCGCCAAATGCCTCCTCTACTTCCCATTTTCGCGCCATTCTCAAACCATGCATTTGAACATCCTTTCATGTCCTTCTAGTGCTATCTCATCGCGCAAACTTTTAGCGGAAACTGAAATATAACGGATGGGAAGGATCGCTTGGGTACTTGTTGAGGTACCAGAGAGGGGGCCTAGTTGTGCGCCGCTAGCGATCACGCTCCTTGAGCTCCTCTGCAACAGCCTTTAGACCCTTCTCATGTTCCTTCTGGATCTGATCCCAGTACTGTGCCCAGATGCGAGACTGTGAATCGTCCTGACCAATACCGGCTTCGGTGCCCATTTGCTTGTTAAGCTGCATTGACACTTTGAGCACGCCCTTGGCGCCTTCGTGAATCTTCTCGATCTCCTGCTTGACAGCATTCTCTTTTGGCTTGACGGCAAGTACAGTGCGGAAGTTCTCGGCAAGAGAATCCAGACGCGAGCGGACCTGGTCCGGTGCAATGACCATAAGCTTGGTGAGCATGAGGTTGCACAGAACTCGGATGTCATGCTCGTCGGTAATACCAGCGACAATGCGATCGAAGAAGTCGGAGACCTCGATGGGTGACAGACGTGCAAAGGCCTTCTCAAGAAGAGCATAGAGGGTCTCGTATGCGCTCTTACGGATCTCTAAGCCATCATCGACCTTGAGCTTGAATGGACCCATTTGCACCTCGCGGATAAGCTCAGGCTTGATGACAGTCTCCTTCATGGCGAGTGGAAGCAGCTGGTCGAGCGCAGGGAGGATAATGTCAGGCTTGTTGTGCATGGCGGAGTTGAACGTCATAAGAGCAAGACGGCGATTCTCGAGATCAGGCTCGTTGAGCATCTGTACAAGCATAGGTACAACGATGGGGCGGAGGTATTCGTCGTAGGCTTCATCGGTATCGGTGAAGGTGTATCGTAGAGCAGAAATGACCATGGCGCGTAAGCTTTCCTTGCGGTCGTTCAAGAACGCCTAGATTATAAGTTAGCTGTTGAAAAAAAAAAGACTATGAGGGCTTACCTGAAGTTGAGGAAGGTACGTCTTCGGGTCAATGATAGTAAGCCTGCCAATGCACTCTGCACCGATCGCTTTGTTGTCTTCGAGCTGCGAAGCAACAACGAGGTTTTCCCACAGTGTTGACGTGTACGGGATGATCTCCGACTCCGTGTCGTCATGCTGAAGGACTTCCTTGATAGCGTGTAGGAACAGATACTGCGGTGAAGAAGGCTGTCCCATAGATGAAAGAATGACGGGAAGATATTTGCTGACACTTCCAGCACCGGCTCGGCCAAGCGCAACAGCGGCCGCAAGTGGTACGTTCTCGGACTTAGCAGAGAAGTACTTGATGAACAACTTGGGATCAATGGTAGATTGCGAACCAAGGCGCAATGCAGATTCTCCAAGCACTACCAGGGCAAGACACTTGCGCTTGTCGTCTTGTGCCGTCTCAAGCTCGGTGATGAACTGCTCAAGTTTTACGCCAACACTGTTGCCACCATATACAAGCAAGTTACCAATGACCTTGCCTACCACCTCTGGATGCCCAGATACACCGACTTGTTGTAGCAGTGCTTGCATCAAGGCCTTTCCGGCGCCTTGCTCTCCGATAGTGCGTACTAGCTGGAGGAGTGCATCCAACGGCGTTCCGCTTATCGAGCCTTGAGCAACTTGACAAAGGGCATCGTTGAGGCTGGGCGTCATGATGACTTGCGCGTCGTCCTTGACGAATGTAGCCAGGATGATAAGAGCCGGTCCCAGGAGGTGCAGATCGCTGGCGTTCAGCAGCGGAAGCAGCATCTCCACCACCTGCGCTTTTGTCTTGTTGTCGAGTTGGCTCCGTGATAGCGAATTCAATGAGAGAGTGCGTAGTGCGCTTAGGCTGGCACCGCGTAATACGCGACTGGCTTTCCGTAATTGTGCAGCGAGTTCTAGTGCGACATTCTGTACCCATTTGGCTGACAACTCATTTTGCGCCTTGGTGTGGGCAGCGACAGAATCAACAGCACGTACTGAAGCAAGCCTTGTCAATTCGTTTTTCAGGCGCTCTACCAGAAGTTCAAGTCCAGCCGTTCGCTTTGGCGAGGAGAGGAGGCCTTGTTCACCAGAGCTCCTACCAAGCAACAATCCAAGGACGTGAATAGCACTCCGTCGAACTTCCACGTCAGCGTCGTTCGCTGATATGCGGTTGACTAACGCATCGAACAATTGCTCTAGATGCTGCTGGTTCTCCGTTCCTGCTGTAGCAGCTCGGGGAGGTGTGAGGGCCTTGATGACCTGCTCTGTTGCTGCCAGAGCTTCGATAGACAACTTGCTGTACTTATCCTTGACCCCACGGAGGAGCGCGTCAATGATAGCCGCTACATATGGCTGGATAGATTTAGACGAGTGAGTATCGGCGATGGCTCCTATCAGCTGCAAAGCTTGAGTGCGTAAGGTGTTAGCGGTAGCGGAAGCACTACTTGTCGAACCGCCAGTAATCTTCGCAGCTTCTACAACAGGGTTGATCAGTTGGTTGAGGTACCCATCGAGACCACCACGCTGAGTGATGACGATGTCCTTGATCAGAGAGATGGACGCCTGCTTGGTGGTAGGCGGGCATGATGACTGCTTCAGAAGCTGCGCAATGCCCTTGACAATTTCCGGGCTGATCTTAGCTAAGCTTGCGCGAGGGCCGACCGGAGGCGTGCCAGCTGGTGCGGGTGAAGCATAGCCCATTGACAAGGACGAACTACCCTGCAGATCAAACATGCTGGCATCGCTACCGCCGCGACGACGCTTCTTGCTAGGCGGTGGTGGCATTGTGCCACTCTGAGGAGTCTCGTCGGCGAACTTGACAGGCGAGGGTCCGTCACCCGACTTCTTGATCAAGTTGGATAGAGTGGCCAGGACCTCCAAGCGTACGTTGTCTTCCCGCTCTTTGAATCGTGTTATAAGCGCTGGCGCAACCCGGTCGTAGAGAGTTCCGTCGTCGAGAAGATCGCCGTTACTCCGCGTCGAGATCAAAGTGTAAAGCACCTTGGCCGCACACCTACGAACCTTCCAGCTTGCGTCCTCGTCGTCATCATAACCCGTCTCCTCTTCAAAGTCATCGCCCTCAAGCGCGTCTTCTTCGTCGCTTGGCATGTCATCGTCGTCCTCATCGTCGTCGTCTTGCGCCAGATTAGGGTCGTACTTGAGGTAGCGCGTCGCGGCTTCGATGGTTTCGTCGGTGTACATGCGCATGTCTTGCGGACAGGAGGCAAGGAAACCGTCCAAAGCAATAAGGGCGGCTTCGAGTACCTCGTCGATTTCGGGGTCGCGCTCACCCTCGTCGTCTGAGACATCCATCTCCTCGTCTTGCTCCTGTGTGCTCAAGGCGCTCAGGACAAAGGGCGCCAGCGTCTTTAGGTAAGGACCGAATTTACGCGGGATCGACCGGGCCATGGAGCCTAAGATGGTAATGTACAGCTTCCGCTTGCTGCGAGTGAGGTGGGGATCGCGCAGAAGTTCGATGACCTTTGAAAGGAAATTGCTCAGAAGCTGGTCTGAGAAGTAACCGGCCAGGACCGAGATGGCAGTGACGGACTTCTTCTTCATCATAGAGCTAGCCCGATCGCTCTCGAGAATGGCGAAGGTGATCTGCTGCAAAGCCTGGATTTCTACATCCTGCAGCATAGGACCAAAGCACTTGGCGACTTCGATGAGAACGTCGAGAGCGTTGCTGTCCGAGCCTTTCTCGAGGTCTGACTCCAACATGCCCTTGGGCGGTTGAGTCAGGCCCTGTTGTGCTGGTTGTATAACATTGTATCCGATCAGACGCGGTATCAGGACCCTGCTGATGGCGCTGTATGCATCTTGTACCGACTTGCTGCGCGCAGCACCGGTGGTAGGACGGGGAAGGGTTATAACGACTTCGCGGAGGGCCATAGCGGGTATAGACTGGTCGACCGTGTTGCCAGTGGGAAGCGTAGAGAGCTTGTCAATCATGACAGGCAGCGTCTTATCGCTGATCTTGTTGACGAAAGGGCCCAAACACTTGATGGCCTGGTTCTGGACCTCGCCGTTGGTGTCGACCAGTGTTGTGAGGAGACCCTCGACCGTCTTGGCCGAGACGACATCATCGTGGAGGAGGAGGCCGGGGTGAGCTATGAGGAGGATGTCGTGCAGGTCGCTCAGGGCCATGAAGCGGAAATCGGGGTCATCGTCGGCGAAGCGGGGGAGCAGCTGGGCGACATTATGGGAGGTGGGGTTAGGCGGGACCGAAGAGGGCGCCATGGCTGATGTTTAGAAGGCCTGCAGCACTTCGCGCGTCTGGTATCACAGATGTGAGCCCGCAGTCTGGGGCGCGTGTGGTGTGGCGGGGCAGCTTTGGCGGGGTTGACGGTGCTGTACAGCTTCAATGTCGCGGTGGGGAGCGGAAGGGAGGGAGAGAAGGGAAAAAGCTTGTGAGGGAGCTGCCGTTTTAGTATGCGAGGGAGGCACCAGTGGCCGGGTTGGAGGAGCTTTTGGACAATTGTTGCCTGCGTCGCTTTCAGAGCTCCAACCCGCGCACGGCCTCTGTGCAATTACAGGGTATCCAAGAGCTGCTCCAAACGCGTGAACACCTTATACAAGGGGAAACTAAACGCCATAGAACCTACATCAAGATCAAGCTATGCAAAGTAGAGACCTGACGTCAACGTAGGCTCTATAGTGTTCAGCTGTTCCCTTGTATCAGGTGTGAGCAGATGGCATTGTTTTCACATAATCTCTTTCATTCACAAAGCATGATGAAACACTCTTACGCGAGCTCTACGGATAATGGTTTGATACTACGTGCACAATCTTTACGCGATGGCTCTGCAGCCTCGCGCAGGTTCGCGAGTGTTCGAGGTCGGGCACACGTGATG